CGGTCTCCCCGCCGCCAGCTCCCAGCGTGCCCCGCGCTCTCGGCATGGCCGCTCTGCCCCGCCGCTGCTGAGGAGGCGCCGGGCCCGCTCCTTTCCGCCGCCGCCCGTTCCCTTCCGCCGCCGCTCCCCCTCCTCGCCCGCCGCCACTCGCAGGGCCATGGCCGACTGGGCCCCCGCTCAGGTAAGCGCTGCCGCCACCCCGGTGCCCCCCCCGGGCCGGGCCCCGTCTCCCCGTCTCCCGGCGGCGGCGGGTGCGGGTCCGGCCCGGCCTCTCACGGAGCCCCCGTTCAACCCCTCGCTCGGTCGGCGGAACCCACGGCGCCGTCTCTGTCCCTCCTCCCCCCTGTAGGAGCTGGAGTGGGAGATGGAGTCCAAGGAGCTGGCCCTGGAGCAGCCCTTGGCCGCCCCGGAGCAGGGCCCCGCCGGGGAGGCCGAGCTACCGGCCGCCGAGATCTCCCTGACGCTCGTCACCGAGATCCAGGCCGTGGACAGGAAGGTGGACGCCCAGGCCGCCCAGCTGATGAACCTGGAGGGGAGGATGAGGATGGCGGAGACCAAGCTGATCGGCTGCGAGAAGACGGCGGTGGAGTTTGGGAACCAGCTGGAGAGCAAGTGGACGGCGCTGGGCACCCTCATCCAGGAGTACGGGCAGCTGCAGAAGAGGCTGGAGAACATGGAGAACCTCCTGAAGAACAGAAACTTCTGGATCCTGCGGCTGCCCCCGGGGGCGAAGGGGGAGGTCCCCAAGGTAACGGTGTCCTCTGCTCCCATCTTTGAAACAGGGTCGTTCTGCTTGTACCCCGCGCTCGTCGCCCCCTTCCAGGGCAGCTGCGGTGGCTGGGCAGGGCAGGGCAGGGCACAGTTCCTTTTTAGAGGCAATGGCAGCAAAACTGCCTCCAAAATGAAGTGGGAAAAGAGGCTGCGTCGGGTGAGACATCGCCCGCAGAGTGAGGAGGCTGGGCAGGGGGCTGGGGACAGGCAGGTGACGAGGGAGAACCCCGTCGTGTCCCTTGCAGCCGGGCACGGGGCCGAGCGAGGCGTCTGGGGAGGAGCAGGTGCTGCTGCCTGGGACTGTCCTGCGCAGTTCTCGAGGAGTTTGAACGAGAAGAAACCCCCAGGTTTTTTAATTCAACAAGAAGCAAAACATCTTGAGTGTGCGATGCTTCTCCTTGCAGGTCCCCGTGGCGTTCAACGACGCTTCGTTTAACTTCTCTGAGGAGGAGTGGAAGAGCTTGAACGAGTGGCAGAAGGAGCTTTATAGGCATATCATGAAAGGCAACTACGAGGCTGTCATCTCGATGGGTAAAGACAAGCTGGGGTTTCCTCTGAGGCTTCTCATGTGCCGGGTTTTCCCGGGGCCTGGCGGATGGAAGCGCTGCCATGCCCAGCGGGATCGGGGAGGGCGGATGGTGTGTGCTGGTCTGGGAAATTTCGGCAGCAGCCCTGGCTAATTAGGTCAGTCCTCGGCGGTTCGGTTTAGGGACGGACGGACGTCCCCGGCATCGCCGCGGTGGCCGCGTCTCCCTGTGGCCGGTAGGAACCGAGCGAGCGCCTGGGTCGTGAGGAGGAAGGGAAGCCAGAGGAGCCTCACGCCCGAGGAAAGATGGGGGAAGAGGGGGAGTTCCTTTGTCACGCAAAGGTCCACACATCCACTGCGCTGGGTGCATCAGCCTGCTCGCCGCTTAGGGCAGCAGAGGGGTGCCCTGCCCCTGAGGTTCCTTCCAGCCCTTCCCGTGGGTGGACAGTCCTTCAGCTGCCTTTTGTAAGGGAGGAGAGCGAGGTTTGTCGGCCTCGACGCTCTGCCTGACCCCAGCCTCCTCCCAGGGACCGTTTCTTGCGCAAGTTATTGCTCCTGTAGAGCTGGGGAGAAGCAACAGGCAAAAGCAGGCTCTGCCTTCCGCTTCCCCCTCCAGCGGCTCAGGGCTAAACGAACGTGCTCTGCTCGTTCCTTCCAGTCCCGGCTGCAGGGATTCCCCTCCGGGGGACCCGTTGCCATCACGAGCACCTACGTGTGTTCTGAGAAATGACCTTGCCTTGGCTGGATTGTCCCCGTGCGGTGGGTGGGAGCGCAGAGGCAGCCCCTGCTAGACAAACATCTCCTCCCTGTGTGAGGCCACTGGTGAGCAGCCTCATCTGCCACCCGGTTGTCCAATCCAGGCCTTTTATTCCTTTTTTTTTTTTCCCCTCCCCGTTTCTTCCTTTATTTATTTTTTGGACAGAGGTCTTTTGCAGTCCCTGCCTGTAAGGGAAAGAGGTGAAGGATAAGTACTGCCCCCCCGTTCTCTTGGTTAAAAACCAATCCTGTGCCCTACGCTAGAGGTGCAGGAACGTAGTCTGAAGGGAATCTGTGGATCTGAGCCTGGAGCTTAGAAAAATGTATCTGTGCTTCATCTGAAGGTTTCCTTTGAGTAATGAGGTTTTTAGGGGTTTGGCCCTCGTATAAGGCAAAACGGACCCACTAGGGCAGCGGTGGAAATTGATACCCAGAGGCTCACACTTGTTTGGAAATGAAGTTTTACGGCTCTCCACCCTAGGAGAGATTGTGATTGTCCCCCCTTTCCCCCACCAAAACCCGCGAGCAGCCTGTGACTCGGACGAGTAGGATGGAGCGGTCCTGGCTGGAGGGAACCGCATGGGGAGGGCACTTCCCCTGCTCTGCCGCTGGCTGTGACAGCTCTGGTGCTGTCCCCGAGGCTGAAGTCCCCATTTGTAATGGATCCGCGGACCTTAGCAGAGAGGAGAAGAAAGGAAGCCCCGGAGGTAAGCACAGATGCATTTTCTTATTCTCCTCCTCACGCTGCAGGCTGGGAGGTGCTCCTCACCTGAGCAGAGTGTGCTCCTGCAGTCCGCTCATGTCCCCAAGGGCCCAGACAAGGTGAGCGGTGCAGATGTGTGAGAGCATCTTCCTAAGCCTCTCTTTCCGTTACCCGTCATCCCCAGCAGCAAAAGGAAGGTTGGTGGGCGAAGGTTTGAGAGTCAATCTCTCTCCCCCCTCTGCGAGGGCGAAGGAAAGGTTCTGATCCTCTTTTTTTTTAACGCCCAGATGCTGCCATTTCGAAGCCTGACCTCCTGTCGCGGATCGAGCAAGGAGAGGACCCCAACGCGGAGGATCAGGAGGACTCGGAGGGAGGAGAAACCCCTACAGACCCCAGCACCGGTGAGCCCCGGGGCTCCTAGGGCTGGGTGGGAAGGTGGAAAGCAGACACGTGGCTGCCACTGCCCGCCTGCATTCTTCCACCTGCCTCTCCTGCTGAGTTTTGCCAGCTCCATCCTTGGGGACAGGGGTGACGTTGCCTCCCGAGTCGGCTCTTACCCGCTGCGGCCGTCTCTCCTGAAATCCTCTGTGAAGCAGCTGGAAGGAGTGAGCCTCAACTCCTCTCCTCCTTTCTCCTGTGCAGAATTTTCCTTTCCTGGTCCGGATGATGGCTCCTGGAGTAAATACGAAGAGACTCTGGCTGAAAGCCACGAGGGCTCTGACGAAGAGGAAGGCATGGAGGTCCCTAGTACATGTGAGTTAGAAGCGCAGAGGGGGAGAGAGAGGCCAGCTCTGGGCTCTTGGCACTTGCCAGGGTTGCCAAGATTGCCCGGGGTGAGATCCTGCTTCCACTGGGGACTCTGCCAGGCTTGCCTGAAGGGCCAGCGTGGGAGCTGGAGGGCAGCCCGGGCAGATGGACAGCCCGCGGGCAGAAGAAGCCGCAGTGGGCGAGCAGAGGGCAGGAGAAGCAGCTTTGGGGCTGGGTAGGGGGTGGCACAGATCACCTCTGCCGTGTGCCAGCGCTCGGTGAGGCAGCGTGTTTGGTCAGCCTTGAAGCGGAGATGAGCGGGAGCGCGGTGTAGCACAGGAAATCTTCCCTGGCCTGAGCAGCAACGTCCTTAAAAGTCTCTCTGACGAACACGCAAAGCGGTATTTTTCACAGCTTTCTCCCTCAGCCAAATGTGAGGCTTCTCGTGGCGCAGCAAAAGGCTTGTCCTTGTCACCTCCCTGCTCTGAAGCCTTGGGGACACGTGAAGCGTCCCTTGCTGGGACGTGCCTTTGGCTTTTCTGCCTTCGTTCCCAGAACCAGCTCAGCTCTTCTGGCTGATGCTTTTCCAGAGTTCCAGCCTGATGCAAACACAGCGGCCCCTTTTCAAGCCACACGTTGAGATGTGTGACAGGGTGACAAGCAGATGTGACAGGGAGCACCGAGCCGTCTTCTCTGGGCACAGAGGTGCTCGGTGCAGCTTTACCTCCTTGTGCTCTGCAGAAACCTGTGGTTTTTCAGCCCTTTTCTCCATATCCCCACATCCTCTCAGCTCTTTTCGTCCTCCCTTTGCCAGGGTCCTTGGCAGTTGCTTTGAGTTACCCCTTATTCCATGGGAGACCCTTCGGCCCCAGGCACTGTATGAGCCCAGAAGGAAAAGAGTTTTTATTCCCCTTCCTTCAGGTTTTTTTGGGGTTTTTTTTTGCCTTTATCCTAAACCACATGTTCTCAAAGACCTGTTCTGCTTCACCTCCTCCTAAGGAAGCCACTTTTTCCCTTTGTCTAGCTTTATGTAGAGATGTCACCATTGTACTGTCTGAGGTTTCCCAAGAAGTCTTTATCAATGATCTGGACGAGGGGATCGAGTGCAGCTTCAGTAAGTTTGTAGACGACACCAGGTTGGGCGGGAGCGTTGGATCTGCTGGAGGGTAGGAAGGCTCTGCAGAGGGATCTGGACAGGATGGATCGATGGGACGAGGACAATGGTCTGAGGTTCAACTGGGACAAGTGGTGGGTCCAGCTCTTGGGTCACTCCAACCCCATGGGTGCTCCAGGCTGGGGGGAGTGGCTGGAGCTGCCTGGTGGAAAAGGACCTGGGGGTGTTGGCCAACAACTGATGGAGTATGAGCCAGCAGTGTGCCCAGGTGGCCAAGAAGGCCAATAGCATCCTGGCCTGTATCGGGAACATTGTGGCCAGCAGGAATGGGGCAGTGATGGTCCTCCTGTACTTGGCACTGGTGAGGCCTCACCTCAAGTGCTGTGTCCAGTTTTGGGTCTCTCACAACAGGAAAGACTTTGAGGTGCTGGAGCACGTCCAGAGAAGAGCAACAGAGCTGGTGAGGGGTCTGGAGACCAAGGAGAAGGGTCTGGAGAACTTGTGAGGAGCAGCTGAGGGAGCTGGGAGTGTTCAGCCTGGAGAAAAGGAGGCTGAGGGGGGCGGTCTCTTCTCCCAAGGAACAGGCGATGGGACAAGAGGAAACAGCCTCAAGTTGCTTCACAGGAGGTTTAGGATGGATATTGGGGAAGAATTTCTTCCTGGAAAGGGTTGTGAAGCGTTGGCAGAAGCTGCCCAGGGCAGTGGTGGAGTCACCATCCCTGGAGGGATTTAAGAGCCGGGCAGACGTGGTGCTGAGGGACATGGGTCTGTGGTGGTTTGGGCAGTGCTGGTCTGGTGGTTGGACTCGATGACCTAAAAGGTCTTTTCCAACCTCAATGATTCTGCAATTCTAAGTCAAAATACCTCGGTGGTGTTGATACCCCAGCAGGGCGTGTGCAGCTCCCAGACGGGACTTGCCACCCCGTAGAGTTTCTTGAGTGTGGAAAGCAGGGACCCCAGAGAATTACAGTCTAAAATTAACGAGGCAGTTTCTTTTCTCAGAGAAATGACATGACTGTCTCTGCTCCGCCAGATGAACAGCAGTGTGATGAGGAAGGTCCCGAAAGCCTGGAGCTTCCCGGCTCCTTGGCAGGCAAATGGGAAGAGGTTTTCTCCAGCCCAGAGGAAGAGATGAAGCTAAGTGTCAAGAGCCAGAGCGGATCCACCTCGCAGCGGAGAACCCCCACGGGCAACGGGCTGAGGCGTTCCTCTCGCCGCGGGAGAGACTTGGCCAAGAAGGACGTTCCCGAGGACGTGGCAGCAGTAGAGGGGCCCTACATCTGCTGCGAGTGTGGGGAGAGCTTCCTGGACAAGGAGCTCTTCGCCGCCCATCAGAAGGCACATGCCAGTGAGGAGGCCTGCACTTCCCTGGAGCACGCAGAGAGCTTCAGGCAGAAATCCAAAAGCAGCTCCACGAAAGGCCAAGGGTCTTCTCGCTCCAAACCGGGCTCCAAGCGCCCCGACGGGGAGAAAAGCTCTGCTTTCAAGTACGGCTTCGTCAGGCAGGTGAACAACATGGTGGAGAGACCCTACACCTGCTCCCAGTGCAAGGAGAGCTTCAGCCTGGAGGTCAGCCTTATCCTCCACCAGAAGCTCCACACGGGGAAGGGCGACGGGCCCCTGACCTGCACCTACTGCGGGAAGGACTTCCGAGATCTCTCCAAAGCCATCCGCCACCAGCGCATCCACACCGGGGAGAGGCCCTACCAGTGCACTGAGTGCGGGAAGAGCTTCATCCGGCGGGACCACCTCCTCAAACACTGGCGGGTCCACACCGGGGAGACCCCCTACCAGTGTCCCGTCTGCGGCAAGCACTTCCGCTACAAGGAGTCGCTCAACTGCCACCAGAAAATCCACTCCCGCAACCCCCGGCCCATGGAGGAGTCGCAGCACAACCTGGAGTCGGCAACTCAAACCGGCCATTTCTGCGTGAAAAAAGAAACTAAGCAGTAGCGTTGGCCCCCCCGGGGGGGGGGTGTGATGAGGGGGGAAAGGCCGGGGGGGGCGGAAAGGGCTGTCGGCGACGGTGAGGGCCGAGCAGGTTGGACGCGCGGCGTGACGGGAGGGGAACTCGTGTCATGGCAAAGCCAATCCCACGCGGTCGTGCTACGAAGCCCCGCTTTGTTGAAGCATCAAAGGAAATTTCCTCTTTAAAAAACAAAAACACACACAACGACAACACAACAAGAAACAAACAAAAACTCTTGGTGGGACAGCCCAGGCCACCTTTTTGACCCCCCCGCGGGGTGATGTGATGAGACTTGCACGGAGCAGCGTAGGGCCTTGGACTCCTCGTCCCCCCTACGCAGGTTTGGATTTTGCCTGCAGAGCGTGATCCCCAGCGATTCTCCAGGGGGCTGGGGGGGGGCTGTATTTATCAGGCGTTTCCCCACCAATCTTTGTGCATATTCAGGAGTGACGAGCTTTCGCTTTTCTTTTTTTGTTTTCCCCCAACTCCTTTCACCCGACGAGGAGGCTGGAAGCACAAGGGAGGGAAGGAAGGAAGGTGCCATTCCCGGATAATCCCCTCGTGTCGCCGCACCTTCCGACGGCAAAACCCCCTCCTCGGTGCCGCGAGGCCGGGGCTGGGATGAAGGGAAGATTGAGGCGAGGCCACGTGGTTTTAGGGGCACGGCGCAGGATTTATCGAAGGCGAAAAGAAAAAGCAGAGAGGAGAGAGAGCAGCGAAGAGCAAGGTGAGAAAAAGTAGGTGCAGGAGGAGAAGGAAAGGGCTGAGGACATTGGAGCAGGAGGAGTTGGGGAAGGGCAGCGCGTGGAGACGTGGTCGGGTCGCTCACCCGAGGAGGACGCGTCTTTATTCCTTGGAAGGACGTTACCGGCACCGGTTGGGCCGTGGCTTTCCCTCTGGCCTGAGGGAACGGAGCCGCTGGTCTGTCACACCAACTCCTGGCAATGAAGGCAATTTTAGTATCATTTTTTTAACTGGGTTTGGTCTCACACTCAGGTAAGTCAGACGAGTGAAAGCAACTTCTCCTAACCCCTGTAAAGAGCTGTTCGGTTTTTAGTTAATCTAGAAGTAGTATTATATTATTATTATTAATAATTATTATTATTATTAATTATTATTATTATACTACAAGGAAATGTGTGGCACTATATTCCACCAGTTGATCTAAAACACTTTAAATGTCTGAGATAACTGACCGGAGGTTTTTTCAGCCGTCTGTGTAAATATTGGATTGACTTCTCGGCGCTATTCGGTGTTGTTCCTGAGGTGGCTGTTTTAAGTGGTGTCTCTTCCGCTGTGTTTTTATCGTCGGCTGCTGGTTCGTGATCGTGTTTTGTAATAATTATTATTATATTATTGTTTTTATTTTTTTTTTGTAAAGTCCATCAATACAGTGTTTTCCATTCCGAAGCCCGTGTCGGGTGAGTGATGGCAGCCCCGCTCCCCTTCACCCTCTTTCGTCCTTGCTTGTCCCCCTCCTTCTCCCCACCATGACGCACCCGCCTGGTGGTTAATTAGCCTTTTCCAGGTAATTTGCAGAACTGGTGAACCCCACAAACCCGGCGGGCTCTGCTCAAGTCCGTGCTGGGGAACCGGGTCCAGCAAATGAGGCTGCTCAGCCGGTGTCCGGCCATGGGGATTTGTGGTTTTTATGCTTTTTCTCCGCTGCGGCTGGCAGAAAAACGGGGGTTTTGTGGGAGAATGATGTCACGGTCCCAAATGGAGCTGCAGCGATGGCCCGGGGTTTGCCGGGCTCCGCTGGGACCCGGGACAATCCCGTGCTGGGAGAAGCTGGGATGTGGTGGACTCACCCCCCGGCACCGACTGCGGGCGAGAAGGGTCCCGCCGTGCATTCGCCTCTCCTGTGTCACCCAGAGAGGGTGGCCGGGCCCCACGGCGTCCCAGAGGATGGGGCTGGGCTGGTTTGGTGCCCGTTGCCCCCGGGAGGGTTTGACTCGCCGCTTCCTCGCTTCACACGTAGCCGAGCTCTTTGTACCGGGGCTGCCAAATAAAAACTCTTGCTGCCAGGTCCTGGCCCCACAAGGGCGACGCGGCCTTTTGTCTCCCTGTGTCCCGGGGACGGCAGTGACGGCTGGCGGGGCTCAACGGGGTGGCCTTGGGGATATGGGGCTGGCCCAGGTGGCCTTGGGGGGCTGGCAGGGCTCAACTAGGCGGCCTTGGGGACATGGGGCTGGTCTGGGTGGCTCTAGGGGGCTGGCAGGGCTGAACCAGGTGGTCCTGGGGATGTGGGGCTGAAGCTGGGGGGCTGGTGGGGCTGAACTGAGTGGCCTTGGGGCTGAGGGGCTGGCCTGAGTGGCCCTGGGGACGTGGGGCTGAACTGGGTGGCCCTGAGGGGCTGGCAGGGCTGGCCTGGGTGGTCTTGGGGAGATGGGGCTAGCCCAGGTGGGGTGGCCTTGGGGCTGAGGGGCTGGCCTGAGTGGCCCTGGGGACGTGGGGCTGAACTGGGTGGCCCTGAGGGGCTGGCAGGGCTGGCCTGGGTGGTCTTGGGGAGATGGGCTAGCCCAGGTGGGGCTGGTGGGACTGACCTGGGTGGCTCTGGGGACATGGGGGTGGCCCTGGGGGACTGGCAGGGCAGAACCAGGGGGCCCTGGGGATGTGGGGCTGGCCTGGGTGGCCCTGGGGGACTGGTGGGACTGACCTGGGTGGCCCTGGGGACATGGGGCTGGCCCAGTTGGCCCTGGGGGACTGGCAGGGCAGAACCAGGCGGCCCTGGGGATGTAGGGCTGGCCCAGGTGGCCCTGAGGGACTGACCAGGGTGGCTCTGGGGCATGGGGCTGGCTCAGGTGGCCCTGGGGTACTGGTGGGACTGACCTGGGTGGCCCTGGGGACATGGGGCTGGCCCAGTTGGCCTTGAGGGGCTGGTGAAACTGACCAGGGTGGCCCTGGGGGACTGGTGGGGCTGGCCCGGGTGGCCCTGGGGACATGGGGCTGGCCCAGTTGGCCCTGGGGGACTGGTGAAACTGACTGGGGTAGCCCTGGGGATGTGAGGCTGGCCCAGGTGGCCCTGTGGGGCTGGCGGGAGGGGGCAGAAGGGGTGACATGGCAGGATAGATATACCTATAGCTGTATATACGGACCCATCTCCGGCCCCACACGAACACAGCACCGGGGGCCGCGTCCTGCTCCTGCTCTGGCTGAGGCCGGTGCCTCTGGTGGGAGATAAATACACACCTATGGATCCACCTCTCCACCCCTCCCAGTAGCTGCCCCGGGCTCCCAGTCTCCCCAGTTGCACGAGGATGTATGAGCCCTGGGACAGTGACACCCCCCCACCCCATCCCAGAGCTGCTCCCGCGTCCCCTCCCCATGGGTGTCACCCCCACCGGGGGTCCCTAATTTGGGTCCCCGCCTGCTGTCACACCCCTGTGCTCGTGGGGACAGGCGTTGTACCCCCCGCGGTGCCCACCCCCCTTTCTGGCATCGTGGTGGTGACGGGATGTGGCCTCGTCCCCGTGTCCCCCCTCGTCCCCTCCCTTTTTCCGCAATCCAAAGGGTTTCCGGCCCTTCCCCCTGTGCGGTGTCACCAACTTCCCCCCATTGTCACCCCGTGTGGGGGGTCCCTGAGGTCACGGCTGGGGGGGGGAGGCCATGTGTCGGGGGGGGTCCTGCCACCCAGGGGGGCCTGCTGGGGTGGGATGGGGATGGGACGGGATGGAGATGGAGAGGGGACAAACAAACAAACAAAAACCCCAAACCAAACAAAAACAAACAAAAACCCCAAACAAACAAACAAAAAACCAACTTGAAAAAAGAAAGCACTTTCTGAAAAACTGCAATATTAGTACATGAAGTACACGAACATGTTGAAAATTCCGTTCTTTAAAATTTCAAAGAACCTCTGTTAAAGAAGGTGATATTGCTGGGATGCTGACAGTCTCAGAGGCAAATGCATTGTGCACTGGAAGATAAAACTAGTTTGGGATGTTTCCCAAACACTAAATTTGAAATTTTAACAACAAATATTAAAATCAAACTGTGTTTCAGATTCTAGAGTGGAACTTTGATGAGATACGATGAATCCACAGAATTTCTGCATTTTCTGCATTGCTTTTTGAGCTCTTTAGAGAAGGAGTTTTAAATATCTTTAATGTGAACTATCAGCAAGTCTAACCTGGAAAGTAATGCAATGAATGTTACCTGGAATTTTTTTTCATGTTAAATATGAAATTATAGCTCAGTTTTATTCTTATTCAGAATCATGAGCCTAATTTTCTGAGGATATTTTGTTATTTCATTGAAAATTCAACAGGATGTCTTGAAAACCCAGCGTAATGGTTTTAACATTTGTGACATATATAGTGTATAAAATGGCAATGAAATAGATCAATCCATTATAGCTATGTGGAAGAAAAATTGCAGAGTAACTACAAGTTAGAAGATAGGAATTGTCTTCACACCTTGGACACATTAAGTGGTTGCTGACTTATTCCTAGGTCAGAAGGAAGACATAGTATTTTTTTAACTTGTGAAAATATTATCAAATGCTTTTTTATTTCTTCAAGTACTTTATATAGCCATTCAAACTGAGGGTTGTTGTCTAGAAAAGCTATAGTTTTATTTTGACTAACCAGGATATCAAGGTTTTTTTCTCCAACATCTATCAATTAAACAAATACTTTAAATGCACTCATTTATATATAACATTTCCAGCATTGGAATGGGCTGCCCAGGGAGGTGGTGGAGGCACCATCCCTGGAGGTATTTAAGAAACGTGTAGACATGGTTCTTCAGGGCATGCTCTAGTGCCCAAGATTACTGGTTTGTGGTGGGGTGTTGTGTGGGTGGGTGATGGTTTTTTTGGTTTGGAGGTTGTTGTTGTGTGTTTAGGTGGTGGGAGCTGGTGTGTGGTTTTTTGTTTGTTTTGTTGTTTTTTTGTTTTTTTTGTTTTTTGTTGGTTGGACTCGATGATCTCTGAGGTCCCTTCCAACCAC